ACAATCACCAACATCAACTTCAACGAAGGCAAACAATACAAGGACGAATGAACCACATCTGGTAATACTCACCTACCTTACACATGGACCGGACCAACACTGTTCACTGTGAAGGAAGGATACCACTACATGGATGACAACACCCTCGCAGATGATGAACCACGTGTTGAAGCACAACGAGCGAAAGGACTACGACAACCTCGCAAACCTACACCGCAGCAAGCTCATGAACATGAACTCATTGGTGTCCAATCTGCGTACAGGGAAGAGGACGGCAAGACAAACTACAAAACACAACGAGCACGACAACCCGTCACTCAGGTCGACTTCGCCTTCATCAAGACCAACCAGGAGCCGCGACCTACAGCAGTACTGACAGCAGTTGACGTAACTACACAACTGTGCGTGCCATGTCTCGTTCCAGACAAGTCCTCAATGATGGACTACATGATCAACAACCTACAAGCATTCATTCTGGAATGCGGTCGCACAAATGGAACACTTCAAAGAGACAACGAGGACACACTCAATGCACTACTAAAAGCCACAGCAGCAAAACTAGGGTCCATGACAGCACGACACTCACCGGCCTACAGCGGTAACAGCCAAGGAAGTGTAGAACGACTACGCCGAACACTACTTGGCCAAATGCGCGCTTTCAATCGCAAGTCGAACGCAACTACGGGATCACACTCAACGTGAAACACCCCTTACCACCATGGATCATACGACACGCTGCGTGGACTATCAACCGCTACGTAGTACACTCCGACGGCTACACCACCAGCTTCGAACGACGCTGGGGACGCAACTACGAACGAGCAATCGTAGAATTCGGAGAAACACGACTGTGCGTGCCACCACGGCGCAAGAGTCTACCTAAAACCAAACTACGCATGCAGAAATGCATCTGGTTAGGTAAGGTTTCCGAAACAGGTGAAAACTAAGTGGCTACAAAGCAAGGAGTGACGAAAGTACGCACGGTGAGGAGACTACAGCCGGACTTCACATACGATCTCGCACTACCGAACAAGATAACCGCAACTCCATGGTCACCGAGACGGAACACCTACGACCCGAAGTTCACGACACTCCTCGGAACTACGGCGCTACGCAATCTCTACGACCACCTCAACGTGACGCAGGGCAACCACCACCAAGCAAACAAGCGCAAACTACTGTGGGACCAGTACTACCTTCGACGAGACCTTCAACCGGATCTTCAAGTTCGCAACTACCGGACTCACAAATGGCTACATCAGCAACCGCACGCCGACATCCACTACTGCCAGCACCACCAACAACAACATAACCGCTACGACGACTAAATCAAGACGAAATAATGCAACCAACAATGGCTCAAAAGACGAAAGAAGGAACTACTGTCAGTACGACCGAACAAGACACTCAATCGCAACGACAACGGACCAACATGATCGCAGCAATCAAACTACACAACGGAACTACAATCCAATCGCACACTAACGACGACCCCGGCGAACAACAGTAACCAATCATTTTTGACAACGAAGGATTCGACAAATCCAAACTACTGGAAGGAATGAAAAACAGAGGCAGCACAAGTGAAACTACACGAAGTCTACAAAGAAGTAGACATTTCCACACTTGACCCCTCTACAATAAGGGAAGCAATCCTACACGATGGGTACACCGTGGGAAAGGACTACCAGTTCGCCCACGCATCGTCGCAAAAGGCTACAGCGAGAAAGTCGACGACGAGGACTCCGTGTATGCATCTACACCAATGTTCACACTACTACGGACACTTCTACTCATACAACTAGCACGACCAGGATGGACAGCACGACTAGGAGACGTATCTACAGCATTCCTACACGCACCACTCTCACAGCGCAACGAAAAGCCAACCTACATTTGGCCACCAAAGGAACTCTGCCCACGACAAGACAAACTATGGCGACTACAAAGAGCCATGTACGGACTACGCAGTTCACCAAAGGCACGGCAAGACTACTTAGCACAAGTCCTACAAGAACTACGCTTCAAACGATTAAAGTCCGAACCCAACGTCTACACTTCCCCTACAAGGAGCTGCTACATCATGGTGTCCGTTGATGACCTACTTGTTCTTGGCGACCCAGCTACAGCCAACAGGACCTTTGAGGCAATCCAACAACGAGTACTACTCAAACACCTTGGCGACAGTTAACCACAACAACCGCAACAATTCCTGGGGAGAAGAACACAACGGTGATCACATCACCTTGGACTGGCCGACTCCTACATCAACAACATCATTGAAGAAGCAAGCCTCAAGAACTGCAACCCTGTGGCTACACCTGGAATAGCACACTACAAGCCCACAGTGGAAGATGAAGCACCACTTGACAAAGAACAACGCAAGAGGTACAGACGTGTTGTAGGAAAACTACAATGGCTAGCCTACACACGACCAGACATTGCTTACTCCACCAAAGAACTTGCAAGCGACCTCACAGCGCCTACAGAACTTTCCAACAAACGAGTCAAACACTTAATACGCTACCTTCAAGGAACCAAGCACTACAAGTTCATAATACAACCAACCACTACACTCAACTCTGACACCAACAACTGCCTCGACCTCGAGATGTACGTTGATGCCGATTGGGCAGGATGCCCCGCCGCGCAAATCAACATCAGGCTTCAACATCAAACTACCCAACGCAATAATCGCATTTGGAAGCAGGACTCAAGCTACAGTTGCTTTGAGCTCAGCAGAATCAGGCTCTACGCAATTTGCACAGGAGTGAATGAAGGACTACACCTGAGACCCAAACAAACATATGCACTACAGTTAACATTCGCATTCACACCGACTCTACAGCAGGCAAGAGCATAGCTACACGACAAGGTTCGAGCAAACGAGCAAAACACATCGACCTCAAATTTCTCTACACACAAGACCTCATCAAGAACAACATCATCAGAATAACAAAGATCAACGCACTCCACAACAGTGCAGACGTCCTAACAAAGTACAATACAAAGGACACACTCACACGACTTGTTCAGTCACTGAGCATGAGTGTGTAACTACAAGTAGCAACAACAACGACCGTTTCACAACACGCCTTTTTCTCCCCGTTGGCGGCACTTTTCACGCGCGTTGACTCACGTTTTGGTGCCACCTTTTCTTTTTTGACTACATGTGCCCCACATGTGTATCACTTGCGCTTTGGCGGCTTCCAGGCGGCTCAGGCAACACTACATTTGTTGATTGTCTGCCCGCGTCTACAGCCAATTGATTGCTCCACTACGGTGCCCCATTTCACAACATTTGTCCACTCGTGCCTACATCGCCATGGCCACTGGACCTACAAGCGTTGATGCCACCATGGGTGGTACTACACGCGACAGGGCATCAACCCCACCTGCAGTACAGATTCGAGTGACCGAGGGTCACTACCAGCGCCTGTCTACAACGAAAACAACTACTAGTTCAACCGCACAACGCCCAACAGCCATCACTGAGCAATTTCACATCACAGAACACCAGACCACGACTACACCACACCTCAACAACCACACTCACTACATTCAACTTTTCACAGCACTTACTCTTGAGGAGTACCAACTACTTTCACTACAACAAGCAACAACACTTGACCACCTCGACTACACACGACCACTACAGTGCATATGACTCAACATTACTGAGCATCTCCATGGAAGAGGCTTGCAGCATTCACTACTACCACACCACCTCATGTCACATCACAACCGGTCACCCTGACCACTACATTGTTATCAAAGTCAAACTATACCTTGAGCAGGAGCTTCTACTGAGGTATCTCACCTCAGGACAACTACTCCACTTCACCAGGGACTCCGTTTCCTACATGCTCTCCATTCAGACACCACACTACCTTCCAACTTCACAACAAGCGCAACGCAACTACAAGGTGGACTATGACATGAGCATGTTCACTGAGATCTACAGCCTGAGGAACAACTACATTTGGAATATTACATGCCTCTGCTCCTCCCTGACCTACTTCACTACCTCAACCACCGCGACCAACTACACGACTTTCAGTACAAAGCACTCACTACCATTCTCCACATTAGCACACACTACTACGGCTTCACACTGCTCACCATGACCGACCTCACTCCGCCACAGCGACTCCAACTCCACAACTACCTTCGCTCTAACAACCTACAACTGGCAGCGCCCGAGATCGATGATAATAGACGCCTGATTTCAACAACTACTTCGTTACACACTACTTCAGCACGCTGGATGGCTGGCTGAAGTTGGTGCGCGACTACAGGCTCCACCACTGGCAGCAGCATGTACCTGCTGGACTACAGTTTCTGAGTAGCTGAGACAACTGAGGGTGAACTAGGACCCTGTACAGCCGCTACACCTTTTTGCCTTTGAGGGTTAGATGAGCTACAGCCAGCAGCGTTGTAGTAGACCTACCTTCGGTCATTTTGCAGAGCAGAAAACTACATGTCAGTTCCTTTTGGATTCCCCCTTTCGACTACGGTTGCGCAACACTTTCAGGTTGCGCAACCGAGCAGGCGTGTTAAACTACAGCGAGTGCATGATACAGTTGCATGTGCACTACACTGATGGTTGGTACATACCGCAGGCCTTGAGCCTAGCTTGAGCTACATCAGGAGAAAACAAGAGCTGCGGCAGACTACCTTTGTTTGTGACAACAACTGCGCAGCATTTGCACTTGTAATTAAACGAGAGAGAGCTAGAGCGATTGACAATTGATTTCTTCCCTCCCCCCAGAAAAGCTTCTCAGAACGTTTTGTATGCACCCCTGCTACAGAGGTTCTGAGAAACTTTCCTGGAACTTTTAGTCTCCTCACCAAAAAGCCAATAAAGCTAACCAAAGGAAGGACGCACACATCTTGAAGTCTTGGCCCTGCGGTCCCTGCCGATGTTCCCTTTTTCCTTGCCACGCTAGACAGGGGCCCTCAGACTTGGACACGCGAAGACGGGACCGCGGAAAGGTGAGGTGGAGGCGCTGGAGGACGAGCTGGAGTCCATCGGCCGGTTCCGTGCCATTGAGGTCGGGGCGCAACATATGCAAGGTATTTGACCAGTCATGGCCATGGCCATGGGGGTCATGGGGGTCATGCAAGCCAGATTGACAGCTCAGCAAATTGTGACGACCACTTCTTTGTGGATCACTTGCGGGGGAGCATGGCGGAAATGCGTAAGGCCTATCTGTTGAAATAGGTGGAAAAGGCAGTTGTGTTCTTCCTTGAATGCCCGGTTTGCTCGGGTTTTGCAGGTGGAGCAGCAGCAGCGTTTGCGCACCCTGCTGGCCTCGAGTGACAGTGACCGCCGCTTGGCTAAGCTTGCGGGAGTTCCAAGGCATGGAGCTGTGGAAGCCTGGAGCGTGCCTTTTGTCAGAACTGACGTTTTTCTCAGCCCCCAGGCCCCGCAGGATGCCTCTCCTTCCAGGAGGTTGCTTAGCCGCTCGACCTATCCAAGGCTTGCTGACATTCTTCGACATTTGGAAGCGGTACACCCAAGGTGAATGGGAGCCTTGGGCAGCAACCAGGATCACGGTGTTTCCTTTGCAGCCTGAGCCAAGTCGAAGTGTTGGACTTGGAGCTGTCAGGTTTGCGCACCCCTGCTCCACAGCCAAACCCTTGAACTGCAATTGCTTCATGCATCAGAGACACACGGGTAGCCTGCATTACAACATGCAAAATGCTCACACGGACCTTTCTTGTAAATCGTGGCATGGCACTTCATGGCGGTGCGGGCCACGGTTCTGGCGCGGCCGGAGGGTTTGCGCAGAGTGGCTGGAGATCTCGAGAAGGCGAGGCACTGTCACGGCTGCTGCGCCCCAACGTGCCAGCGCGCCAACGCGCCAGGTGCATGGCTTTTGCCATGATCGCGACATCCAAGTGTGCGCTGGCAGCGCCTGAGCTGCACGCAGGGGCCATATGGGTGCCGCCCATGATGTGGAGCTTCAACTGCGAGGTGTTTTCGACGAGCTGCTTACAAAAGCATCGCTTCTAAGCCGTGTGCAGCGCTTCTTCTGCGCTCGGAGCAAGATGCTTTTCCTCTTGTTCTACGCTGGCCATGGCCGGCCTGGGACAGGCTGGTGACAGTGTGGGGGAAGAGGGCTGGCGGCCTCGGCAAGACCCCAACAGCTTGTCTCCCGGACCAGTCAAATAGTGCCTTGCAGCAATACATTCTCAGCGTTACATTTGCCACACAAAAGGCTCGATGTAGCTTGTTTGTGCTGCTGAGACGGTCAAATGCGAAGAGGTGACTGGATCATGGAGGATGAGGATGTGAGCTTTGCAGACCCTCTGTCTGATTTTGTGGATGCTCTGCCTTAGATGTGCCCAGGGCGAACTCAGGACATCCTCCATCTCTGGCAGCATGGCCTTCGCATGCCTGGCGCATCTTTGCTGATCATCAGCGATGCCTGTCACAGCGGTGCATGGGCTACTTGGATGACCGGCTGAAGCGCCATCCCTCTTTTTGCTATGGTTCCTACATTGGAATGCCTTCCGAGGTCACAGAGGCCGCCCGCGCTGGACGCTCCGATGTCACTTGGAAGAGGGCGAGGTCTTTTAGAACTCGTTCGAAGTGCTGCACAGTATGTTGAGGTGAGGTCATGTTTCAGTCAGGGTTGCATGTAGCTCAGGTCATGGTGCAGGCATCTTGTGCTGCCCTGGAGAAGGCCTTGGAGCCGTGGCTGCGTCGACACCTTTTGGCTGCAAATGTCCAGACACACTTGGAGTTGGCATCAAGCCTCTGCCCAAAACAGGTTTTGGTCGAAATCTTCAGTAGTCGATGGTCCATTTCAAGGACATGTGCCTGAGAGCCGCATGTCTCGCCTGTGTGGCCAGAGATTCCGAGGATGGGGTCTTCATCTCTTTGTGGCTCCTGGTGCAGTGTGGGGAGGTGGCACCACAGCACGCCCTGAAGCACTTGGAGTCTTTGGAGCGCACCTCAGCCAGCAAGTTCTGTAATTGTCCAAGCAAAGGGACCGTCGTGCGGTTTAAAGAAGATTTCCTTGATGTCTCTTTTGCCTCAGTTTGGTGGCAGTCCGCAGCGGAGTTTGGTTGCTTGGCTCTTTTGCATGCCATGCTCCAAGGACATCCCTGCATTTACAAGGCGGGCCCCTTGCTGCACTCGTTTTGAACAGTGCGGCTGGTGGTCGCCTCTGTCGAAGTTGGGGTGAGCTGAGTGCTGCGCAGGAAGTGCAGAACGAGCTCCCTAGCCTGGGCTCGGGCTGGCCGCCCCCGAAGCTGCTGGAGCTGCCTTCCAAGACAGATGCCACAGCCAGCGCCACAAGGCAGAAGCGAGCGGCATGTGATGGAAGTGTGATTAGCCATGGTTTAAATCATCATCTGGGAAGTCGCGGTAGTGACTGACCGGTGGTGCTTTGGCTCAAGTTTACGGGTTCCGTCGCGCCTTGGATGGGCGTCGCCGAACCCCTGCGTCGACCGACGGCATCTCGGGGGAGAAAGAGACCTCGGGCCGCCGTCAGGTTGGTAGGGACTATTCGTGCGGCCTGTCGTCGATCAAGGTTGCGGGTTAACTCTTTTCTCTTTTGGTTGTTGTTCTCTGGTGTGTGGGAAACCCTGATCTTTGGGACCGGGGATTGGTTTGCTTTCGGGGAACCTTTCTTTTGTGGCTTGTTTACCCCAACTTACCCATTGCCTGGGCACAGGCTCGTGCCCGAATCACAGGTTATCAGCCGTAGGACTTTCCTACGCGCTTGAGACCATCAACTACAAGCTCTATGACGTCGACCCCACGCTCTCACAGGAGTGTCGTGGATGAGGAGGCTATCCTAGGTGGTCTCCGATCAGGTGAGGACTTGCCGGACTACGACTACGAGGAATTCGAGGCAGGTTCAGCAGGTCAGGATCGCAGGGCCCGATAGGGACACACCCCGAAGCCGTGGCAGGTACACTGACGATGGAGACGACCGCATTTTCCGTCAGGCCACCGATGATGAGCAAGGACGAGGAGCTCGCCCCGATAGGGGCGGCTCCGAATCAGGTTTCGGACAAGGACATTTGGACTTCATCAGTATGGCGATGAACATGGCTCGCCCTCATACGGACGACCTGGAAGCCATCCCTGGTCGATTTCCCAGGTCTCTTTTTCCAGGTGAATCACAGGCCCCGGAGGGAGTTGAGAGCAGGCTGCAAGGACCAGGAACCATGGTCTTGGCTCCGAGAGATATCTCGGGTCGATCAACTGGGTCTCAAAATCCAGGTCAGTTTGATGAGTACGAGGAGAGGGCGTTTGCAGGCATCGGATACGATGCCCTGTTATCGACCGCGGGATGGGGCGGTAGCGTGAAGCCTGAGTCTGATACTGATAGGCCCAACCCGGTTTCAATGACTCCATTTTGAGTTCGATAATGATGAAGATTATGTCGCATTTGCGGATGCTCGTGAGAAGGAAGAGAGTTTATCTTACCGGAATGCAAGGAGCCGTGATGCTGCGAGGGCCAGGAGCCTCACTCGTGGTCCTGCGAGGGACATTCGTGAGGACAGGGACACCCGGAGTGAGAGGGAACGGATCCGAGAGAGTCGGGACACTCTTAGGGGTTTGGAGGCCATCCATGAAGGAAGAGGATCGATAGGTCCTCCGGGGATTGAACCCGTCCCGAATGTTGCGCCTTTTCAAAATATATCGAGGACGTAAACCGGAGTACTGGTTCGCCCAGGATCACTGAGCGGGCCGCTAACGTGGTTGAAGCAGGTGCAAGGGACGGAAGGCTTGCAAGTGCACTAGAGATCGAGGATCGTCCGTCGATCGCTGGCCCGTTAGGGCGAGATCTCAGCGACCTCGAGCCACTACACTGATGATTCTGCTTCCGACCCTACAAGGCGCACTAGAGTTGAAAGGGTTCCTGAGAGGATCGAGATATCGACCCCTCCGGCCCTCAGATCTCATTCTTCTGGTGACTCCGGTGACGCTAGGATTAAGGAAGTATTTGATTTGCACATTCAGGAGATGTTCGAAAGAGGCGAGGCTTCTAGCCCGGTTGCGAACACCCTTAAGGCCTTTGCTAATCAGATCAGGTTACTGAACGGTCAGGTGAGTTCCATGCGCAGGGAATAGCGTGATGAGAATCAACAGATAAAGGACAAGGTTAGTCGCTTGGCTACCGAGATTGCAACCCAAGCGGATGCTGATCGAATGCGACTGATAGTTCAACGGTTTGCCGGTGAGATCATTCCCGATAGCAGAGCAGTCGTTAGGCAAGCTATTGATGAGCAGAGCGAGATTGTGGATCAGAGGATCAACTCGCTCTCAAATGAAGTCCGGGAATCCGTTAGGGACGTAGAAAGCGGAATGAGTCAGCTTCATCAGGTTGTTCAGGATAAGCATCATGCTATCTTCAGGAGCCAAGCTGCCTTTGAGGACCAGATCAATACTGAGGTTGAAAAGTTAGAAAAGCGACTCTTTTTTTGGTAGAGAAGGCCGTTAGGCTGACTGCATCTTCTGATGCTCCGGCTGCATCGGGGCCCGATAGGGCCACTAGCAGCGGGGTTGACGTGAATTTCAGGGACTTCACCGCGAGGGTCGATAGACTCCAAGGTGAGACTGCTCGACATGCGAAATGGGCCACTATGGCCATTGACGAGCTCAAGGATGAGCACAGGACGTTTGCTGACCAAATGCTGGAATCACGGGGTGGCAGGGGATACCATGTTGTCGATAGACCGAGGGACCCCGATACCCGTCAGGATTGGCGCGAGGCGATCGAGGAGATTAACCGGAAGGTTCAGGATCTTACTCGTAGAGTCTATCGCCAAGGTCGGGATCATGATGCCACTGCCGAGAAGGCCGAGACCGCGAACGCCCGTATCGCTGCACTCGATGAGAATGCACAAGGGCTTCAGCAGGCTGCGCAGGCTATAAGAACTCAGCTTGGTAATCTTCCTTCAGGCACGGAGCAGACGCAGGCCGTCGTTAGACGGGAGCTCGTCTTTTATCGCAACATGTTAGACGCGACCATGCGGAGGCTTGGCGTCGTCGAAAACAACATCCGCGCCCTGAATGAAATGAATACCCGAGTTGTGGGGCAGCTTGCCGAGCTTGAGGGACATGTCGATGACGCAGCCGATATGATTCAGGTAGCTCAGCAGAATCCTCGTGGACCCCAAGGCAGGCCAAACGTCGGGTACGACGCTTTCGCTGGACAAGGACACAGGATTAGGTCTCCGACGCCTACCCCTGGAGATAGAAATGCGAGTGATCAACCCCAGGTCAATAGGGGTTCAAGCTTGCCAAGCGCGCCCAGTAGGGTTGAAGCTGGTTCTCATGCAAGCGGACAGATCTTACTCTCCGCCGAGGCGTATGAGGTGATCCACAGGCACGTACTAGGGCTAATAGTTCAATTTGCCCGAACAGGGATGAAGGTAGGAACAGGAGTCCGAGAGCTGCCGATAGGGAGCCTGAGGTTAGGAGTCGGGAATCGAGAAACGAGAGACCAATCCGCGATAGCGGAGGTGCCCCTCGAAATCCCAATCGCCAACAAAGGGATGCCCAAGGCAACAGGGCCCGAGGTGACGTTCCGAGTCCTGGCGATAGCCGAAGGAACCCAGCTGCGCCAGATGGCGATGGACCTGATCTCTCCAGAAAATGTGCTCAGGACAACCCAAATGATCGAAGACACCCAAATGCGAGTTTCACTTGTGCTACGTGCGAACGTGAATTCTGCCAACTGTGTAAGGGTGACGATGGGGACTGTTGGAATTGCCAGCTCTTGAAAACAAAGTGCTGGGCCTGTCGCAAAAATGCTCAGGAGATATCCATGTATTCTTGTTCTGACTGTGAGAAGAACATCTGCAATGAGGGACCGTCGGGTCACGGTGGAGGCGGATGCGGTGGTCATGGGCCACTCCCGCGTCCTCCTCCCGGGCCTGGTCCTCCTGGTAGAGGACAAGGACCCCTGGACCACCTGGTGGCACAGCTGGAGGCGGCGGGGCGTATCCCGGGGGATACTTGGGGGAGGAGGAGCGCCGACGTTTAGCGGTACTGCTGTAGATTTTCACGGAGCTGGAAGCAATCAATGTGGTTCCAGCTTCTATGGTCCAGCCTACGGAGGTGGTGTTAACCTTATGACATTTTTGCAGCCACACACTGAGGTGTCTTGAAATATTTATTTTTTCAAAAAATCATCAATTTCATGATCCTCAACACTATCCTTTTTTTATCCTCATCGTTTGTCATTGTCCTCCAGATTATCATTTTTTATCCTCATCGTTTTTCATTATCCTCAAGCCTGCCTGCCTGCCTGCTCGCTCGCTCACTTGTTTTGTTTTGCTTTGCTTTGCTTTGCTTTGCTTCGCTCGCTTGCTTTGCTTTGCTTTGATTTGCTGGGCTTGGCTTTGCTTGGCTTGCTTTGGTGGGTTTCCTTCAGCTTCAGCCATGAAACAATTTAGTTGGAGCCATTTTGCGCAAGAAATGTCTGACGGTGGCTGTGTTGAAGCTCGTTTCAAATCGTGTTCCAGGCTGGAGAACAGGGGGGGAAAATTGGGAGGACGATTTTTGGAAGGTTGATGTCAGGCAGGATAATTTGTTGGATGATTTTTTGAAGATGTCAGGATCATTTTTCGATTATTTTTCGAAGATTTTTCGATGATGTTTCGATGATTTATTGAAAAAAACAAGAGGGTTTTGCAACTTTTTGCTTTCCTGACCACTGTGAAGGGGGGTTGGTCCCGAAAATGTGGGTTGGGGATGATTTTTCGATGATTTTTCCGAAGATTTTTCGATGATTTTTTGAAAAAACAGGAGGGTTTTGCAACTTTTTGCTTTCCTGACCACTGTGAAGGGGGGTTGGTCCAGAAAATGTGGGTTGGGGATGATTTGTTCGATGATTTTTCCGAAGATTTTTCGATGATTTATTGAAAAAATCAGGAGGGTTTTGCAACTTTTTGCTTTCCTGACCACTGTGAAGGGGGGTTGGTCCAGAAAATGTGGGTTGGGGATGATTTGTTCGATGATTTTTCGAAGATTTTTCGATGATTTATTGAAAAAATCAGGAGGGTTTTGCAACTTTTTGCTTTCCTGACCACTGTGAAGGGGGTTTGGTCCAGAAAATGGGATGATTTTTCGAAGATTGTTCGATGATTGTTCGATGATTGATTGAAAAAAACAGGAGGGTTTTGCAACTTTTTGCTTTTCCTGTCAGTCTCAGGAAGAGGAAGAGTGAAAAGGGAAAGAAGGAACAGGGCAGGGCAAAGAGAACTGGAGAGGACAAGGAAGAGAAAAAAAAGAAAGGAGATGGAACATGGAAACAAGAAGAGGGAAATGGAAAAGGGT